ACATTGGAAACACACTTACCAATACACATTTTAATGTGACCAATGATGCAATGTGTGGCCATTCTCTATTCCTGATGGAAAGTTTCTTTAAAGAATTGATGATTATTCTACCTCTAATCTCTGTGACTATATGTATAGGAAAGAGGGTCACCAGGAATATTAAGTCAAGCCAGTCTTTTAAAGAGCTCCAACCAGAATTATGGCTTAGCCTAGGACCAGAAGGAAATAGATCATGCTCCTACAGGCTCATCTGTTTCCCATTTTCTTGGATGTCTGGGTCGCTGATGGGTTTCATAGAGAGTATTTGGGACAGATTTCACACTGACCATGACCAGCCTCCCTGTGATTCACATAACCAACTATTACTCTCCACAGTTTTGGAAACTTCCCTCTCAGCACTTCAGCTTCCACCACAAACTTCACAGAAAATGAGTCAGAGATTTTGCTGCTGCTGCTGTGTCCTCTCTGCTCAGCCCTGCTTTCTCCCATGGTCATTGTTTGCATCAGTGGCTGTGATCCTGCATAATCATGGAAGAATATGTAGTGACAAGGGAAGATGGAGTAGAACAATATCTAGAGAGTATTTGAAAATAGGCTTCACCATGAACATTATTATGTGACATGATCCCTTCTCTATCTATTCAGAATGTTTCTCATCTTTGGAACTGTTACATAACAAGGAAACTGAGTCTTCAAATCCTTGGAAAGATAGGGTTAGTGCCCTGACAAACAGTCTTTTTCCTGTGCCCAATGAAAAAGAAATTCTCATGTTCTTATTTTTATATTTTATTGCATTTTCTTCTGATATTCCATCATGACTATAACATAGGATAAAGACAAGCTGTCCTGCAGTTACCCCAACTTTGCTTATTACTCCAATGGTAATAGACAAGGAGAAGAAAGGTGGGAAAAATGCCCCAGTGTTCCTACTCATTTAAACTCAAGGGAAGCTGACCTTAGTATCTACTGGCTTATTTCAAAATTATTTGGTCTGACACCTACATGTCATCTGTGTCAATTCACTTTATATCTTTGTGACTTTTAGCAGGTAGTCCAAAACCTTTTCATCCCTTTCTATTTGTAGAAAAGGTAATAAGCCACTAATAATTTTGTTTGATGTATACTTTTTCAGACACTAATTTCTTCTTCATTATCTATACCACTAAATTTTAACTTAAAAAGCTTTACAGTAATTTTAAATAATTTGGAGGTCCACATTTCTTATACATAGGTAATCTTCTACTTTCAATGGTTTGCATTCCAATGGATCAATCATTGTTATTCTTTATTTCTTTCCACTGTCTCCAAAGCAGTGTGAGCTCAGTACCAATCTAGATTCATATTTTCAATGCTTATGTTCCCCTGGGTGATTGATACCTAGTACTAATACTCTTCCTTGATAACAATCAGAGGTACCAAGCAGCAATTTCCAGTAGCCATGTATAAATATATATGTACATACACACACCCAGACACACAAACACACACACAAACACACACACACACACACACACACACACACACACACATCCTAATCAGAAGAGAAAACAAACACTACATAACAGTATATCGTAAATATACAATTATTATAAAGATAGGATTTTGTTAGATGTAGTTACTTATCAGCAGAATAATGGAAGTATTCAGAGGAATATAAGGGAATGTGGCTACCTAAAATGGTTTTGCAGGATATTTGTAACAGATACTTTTTTTTCATTTGTGGGGCTTGAACTCGGCCTAGGTGCTCTCCCTCAGCTGTTCAGCTCAAGGCTAGCTCTCTACCACTTTAACCACAGTGCCACTTTGGTTTTCTAATTGGTTTATTGGAGATAAGAGTCTCACACACTTTCATGCCTGGGCTGGCTTTGAACCGTGATCCTCAGATCTGAGCCTCTTGAGTAGCTAACATTACAGGCCATTCAGGCCATGTTAATATAAGCCATTGGTGCCCAGTTTGTATTATATGCATTTTTGACGAATAATATATCCAACCTACAATGGATTTATCTAGATGTAATGATAATGTTTAGCATACTTTTCACTCTATGCTTAAATTTTTTAAAACCTTGTAATCAACATTCTTAATAACATCTTAATAGACTTGATATATGTTTCTGTATATGTATTTTGTATGTGTATGAAAATAGGTGAAGAATTCCTCCCTAAGTTGATGACCACCCACAGTGGGCATCATTCCCAATGTTGGCTATTCTTTTTAAATTCATGGCAATTTATTTTTATGAGTTCATCTATTTCCTGATCTCTCAGATTTATTTGAAAATTTGCTTATGTCAAATCTTTAAGACATTAGTAACTGATTTCCTCCTCACATTGGCAAATTGTGACTTTCCATTATGTTTTTCTCCATTTTTCACATTTATTTTATTGTGATTATTAAGGTGAATTACAGAGGTATTATAATTATATGAATCAGATGAGTACAGTGATAATGGATAATGAGATAATATTGTACTATATCTTCTGTTCCCTCATTCTCTCCCAGTCCCACCCTCATGTCTCCACCTATGAAATATATAAAGTTGTGGAGTTCACATCAATGCATGTGCAGTGAGCGCCACTGCTGCCCCAATTCATAATTATTACATCGAATTCTATACAATTCTGTATTCCCTCAACCCTCCTGAGTATGTACACTTGAATTCACCATAGATGAATAAAACAGAATCATCAAAAATTAAAAGAAGTAAGACAGATCTTTTGTTCTGTATCATTGAGTTCATTTAGATGTGTGACTATATAGAGAAAATTTTATATAAATATGAAGAAACATGTAGACATTCTGCCTAATTGTTTCTCCCCTAAGAGTATTCTCTTTTGGTCTGATTTTGTGTAGATATTTAGAATCCTGTATGATTTATCATATCCCAATGCTGTCTTTTCATAAACCATCTACACATAGATATCTCTTGGGCTCTGACTTAGACCAAAACCACACTGTCCTCATTTTGACCATTCCTTTCAGCAGGTGGCAGGATTTACACACCAGTATCCAGTGAAGAACATTAGGGGTAGGGCTGGAAACCTTGTAACAATAGGCTCTTGATATATTTAGCCAGTGATTTCTCCAGGCCCTTCACCTGCAGGCCTCTGAAACACCAGAGTCATTCTGTGGAAGTTCGAGATAGTAGAAATTTATTCTCTTCACAGGTAGAAAAAGCTCTCACAGGCCTCTGGCCCAAAGCAATTTTTCTGGTTAGGAGGATGAGCTATCAGTCTGTCTTGCTCTCCTCAGCACCTGTTACAGACAGCTTCTCTGACCTGATCTAGCTTCGAGATTGCTAATATTCACAGACAGAAAGGAAGAGTCTGGATATCATCCTACTTATTTGGAAGGGTAAGAACATAATGAAGACCCAGAGAAGATATCATAACACTGGAAGACCAATGAGAAAGAAACATCATGATATATAAAGACATTGTCTCAATGTCCTTTCTCTTACTCACTGATTTGGTTCTGAACACCTTCAATGTGAGACTACATGCTTCTTAATTATTAGTGTTCCATATGAGCAAGCAGATTTTGAATAAATTAATCGCCTTGCTTTTTTCAATTATTGAATGTCATCCTAAGATTATTAAACATAGCACGTACATTGATAACATGTGGTCTTAAGTTCAAGATTAAAATGTCTGACTGGAGATAGTGGCATATCACAAATCCTGAGGTAATTTTGGTCTTTTCTGGTAGCAACAAGCATTTGTTTCAGCCCCTTAGCCATCAAACCACAGGAAATGTCTTACTTAGGCCATTGTTATAATTGCTTTCCTTGCTTTAAGTGTTTTATAATTTACATAGTAAAGCCAAATAAGGGAAAGTTTGCCTCAGCCTTATACCTGATCTAAAGGAGAATCCACATTTCTGGGGGTGGGGAGGATGGTTAAGGAGCTTGAACTCTGAGCCTAGGCGCTATCCCTGAGCTCCTCAGCTCAAGGTTAGTGCATTACTACTTGAGCCACAATGTCACTTCCATTTTTTCTGGTGGATAATTGGAGATAGGATTCTCATGTATTTTCCTGTCCAGACTAGCTATGAACCACAATTCTCAGATCCCAGCCTCTTGAGTAGCTAGGATTCCAGTTGTGAGCCACTGAGGCCCAATTAGAATCCACATTTTATTTTATGTTTATATGTGTGTTTTGGAATAGACTGAGACATAAAAACAGCTTATATCTCTTTTGCTATGGCAGTGAGTTGTTCCCATGCATAAAGATATTCAACCAGTTTAAAATGTCCAGAAACTCTATTCTCCCATATCTTTACTTCTTCCATATACAGAATATAATATATTCCTTTTTCCTTTATCTTATCCTTTTCAAAGTCACTACAGAGAATTGAGATTAGGACACACAGGAAAAGCAGGTCCTCATACCTGCAGGCACCAGTAGATATACACATAGGACAGCAGACTGATTGTGACTTGTCCTGTTTGAATGAATCATATTCTCTAGTCTAAAACTAAGACACATGGGCACCATGGACCTATGATGATTTCCTGAAATGAGTCAACATTTGCAGGAATATCCATCTTTGCCCAGCCCTCCTGATTTTAATTTGCCTACATCACATCCTACTGCCATAATGAATTCATAATAAGCTGTTCACACCTGTGCAGCAGTCAATCCCAGTCAGTACCCAGCATGGACATGAGGACTGCTACTCATCTCCTCCTGCTGCTCTGCCTCCCAGGTAAGGAAGGAAAAAACTTCTCTCACCCTGTGTGGTCAGTGATGCCTGTGGATTCAGGAAAGTCCTGTAATAACATGAGTAATAATGTGGATATTTGCTTTTATGTTTCCAATGCCAGCTACCTGTTGTGACATCTAGATGACCCTGTCTCTATGCTCCCTGTCTGCATCTCCAGGAGACACAATCACCATCTCCTGCAGAGCCAGTCAGGGTATTCGCAGGGTATCAAACAGGTATCAGCAGAAACCAGGGAATTCCCTAAAGCTCCTGATCTATTACATGTCAAGGCTGGCCTCTGGGTCCCATCCAGGATTAGTGGCAGTGGATCTGGGACAAATTATTCTCTCACCATCAGCAGTCTTAAGCCTTAATATTTTACTACTTATTAATGTCAACAGCATATCAGTTACCCTCCCCCAGTGATATAAGCCATGATAAAACCTTCCCAGGAAAACAGAAATGAGAGGCTGGAGAGCCCTAGCTGCTTTGCCTAGTTCTTCTACCTGTTGATAGTGCTTCTCAGATGCAGCCAGATTCTAAAGGAAGAATTGTCTGCAATCTAGCTTTCTGTTCTTCTTAGGCCCAGCAAAATACTCATGGCACTGAGTCTGTGATTTAATAGTTGAAACCAATTGTTACATATGAGGAGCACCCATCAATTATTTTGGACATTCCACTTCACTAAAATATAAAACAGCTTATTTTCAATCAGTTTCTTCATAGAAACTAAAACAGCTGCTCAAATAAAAATGGTCTTTTTGAGGTTTTCTGAATTGTTGGGAGCCGACAGTAAAACTCCAAGGTCATCTTGACCCTTGTGCTCACTTGAAGGCACGTACAAGGAACTGGCTTTCATGAATAACACCAGGTGTCCGGGTTTGCCTTGCTATGTCTGTAGAATTTGTTTTACTTTCTATCAGTTGACCTTGTCTTGTTTCTTTCTGCACCCTTGTTTTTATTAAAATTTTCCTTGCTTTTCTGCACTATGGTGACCTTAGGTTACCTCTTGACTTCTAATAGTATAAATAAGGAGAGTTAAAAATAAACGGGGCTGCAGTCTTGAGCTGCAGACCTCCCGACCCCATCCTTTGTCTTATGTCTTTATTTTTCTGTCCTCGCCCCCTAAAGCAGGAGTCCCTTTCGTTGCTGGCTGGTTCCAGCAAGTGGCACCCGAACAGGGACCCTGAAAACCTGGGATCAAGGCAGAGGACCCCGCTAAGGTAAGAGGACGCGTCCGGAAAAAGAGCGGGTGATAGTATAGTCGGGAGTAAGAAATTATGGGGCAAGGAAACAGCTGCACGTTATACATGCAGGCTCTCAAGGGTATGCTTCAAGCTCAAGGAGTGAAAGTTAGACAGAGTCAGTTAGAATGTTTCTTTCACTTTGTTGAGGAAGTATACCCCTGGTTCCCGGAGGAAGGAACCATTAGTTTTAAAACTTAAAAAAAAAAAATTTTTTTTTGAAAAAAAGGATTCCGGGACACCATGATGCAAAAGGCCTGTAAGTTAAAACACTGCTGCTTTGTAATTGTCTGGTATCTGTGTAGCCTGCAGGTTCTGTATTGGGGTTGGCAAGAGTCTTGGCTGACGCGCTATAAGACAGCCAACGGGGCCAGTGGGAGACGTCCCCCGGATCCCCATCATGGTAAACTATCCACTAGTGCAGACATTTGGGCCCGTCTGTAGTCCGGCACCTTATGTCTGACAGCCTACAATGCGCATGTTGTAAATGTGTTTTTTCTCAATGTTTGTGTATGTATTTTGGAATTCTTGGAATGTTTCTTCTCTCAGTTTCATCCTGATGCGAGAGCCCGGAGGAACCTGGCTAACACTCCCTCAACATCTGTTTCTCTCAAGCTCCGTCTTTTTTACTTACACTTTAAACTGACCCCCTTTCTACCCTTCACTGCCACCTCCTCCACCCTCTCTGGATCCAGAAGTATGGGAGTGATGGGTGGTGAAAAACCTGGAGGATCTAACAATAACTTAAAAGGGGCGACAGGGAGAACTCGCAGCCAGATAAAACTGCCACTGACCACCTGCAAGTGACATCAGCAAGATCTTAGCCTAGGGCCTTGGCCCAGGGGGTCTGAGTATGGGGGAGAACCTATCAGTCTGAGGGGACGGCCGCTAGGGACTTCTTTCCCTTGCCCCAAGATGACTGGGAATTCTCCTCCACTTTGGAAGGCCCCTGGGTCAACGTTTGCAGAAATCTAAAAGAAAAATCCTCCGGAGGTAAGTAGAGGGGGTCCGAGTCCCCTGGTAAGTGGGTTTGAGTCCCACTTGTGAATGGTGGTGAGATGTTGCCCCATTCACTGAGACCTGATTTTGTCTTTGTGGCCACTTGTTTGTCTTGTTTACTTTAGTGTGTTTGTTTGCTCTATGTTTTCTGAGGTAGGGAAGTTCTGGGTGAGCGTGGCAGGCTCACTCAGCAGACATTTTATTCAGCTTGATGAGTGAAAACAGCACAGAGTTCTGGTAGAGATAAAGATAAACTGGGGGCCCATTAGCCCCCAACTCAGCCTTTGGTCATTGTCTTGTCTAGTTCTGTTTTAGAATTGGTACCAGTTTTAAATGTACGTACAACTGATTTTGATTTTTGCACGCTTTAAGATCTGTGTGTGTTTTGTATGTGCTTGTGAACATGTTCAAGACAAAAATTATCAGCATGCTGTAACAGTTGGGTGAGTTTAAGTTTAAAATTCAAAAGGTTATTTGAGGTTTGGACATTACCAAAAATTTTAAAGAACTTTCACATTTTTTTAAATGACTTTTTAAGGATTCTTTAACTTAAAAAAAATCTGGTATTTTAAAATGCATAAGGCTGTTTTCACTGTAATCAAGTTATCTGGCTTAACAAAATTGCATTTGCTGTTTAAAATTTAGTTCTCTTGGCTAAAATTTGGGGATAAATATTAAAAGTTTAAATATAAAAGTTTGTTTAACACTGTAAAAGACATTACCTGTTCTGTCTGTCTAAAACTGTGTATTTTCATTTAAAAACCAATAGATAAGAAAAGGAAAAAACTTTAAAGCCAACAAAAGACCTATCTTTAGGGGTAAGGGGTAAACAGGTAAAAGTGCAGTTCAGCTGGTCATACATGGTGGGATGGGCCATGGGAGGAGTCCACACATGGTAAAAGAGGACAAGCTGGCACAAACGCAGTTCATCTTACCCTAAAGAGAGAGATTAAGTGTGTGCCCATTCCACAGGAGGGGCCAAGTGGCCCAGCTTTGTTCTGTCCTTTTTCTCTACAGATAAATACTAGAAACATGATGGTAAAAATTAGTGATGTGATGATCTGATTAGTATTGCTAAAACTGCCCCTTGGACTTAAAAAGAGGGTTAAAAATGTTTTTGTATAATGTGACTTGTTTTCTATGATGTTTTATAATTGGGATATGTTTTTAAAAGTCATAAATGTGTTAAGTTTAACTTCTTGGTAGAGAGATGGTGATTGTAATTCTTACATTAAAAAAAAATTTGAGTTTAAAAGTTTTAATGTGTATCTGTTTTAAAACAAGCAGCCAAGAGACATGAGTGACACTTGGCCTCAAGATTTTAAGGGATTTTTTTAATATAACTAAAAACTAAAATATAAAATAATAAAATAGATTAATAGGAGGCTTAAAAAATAGGAATGGATTTTTGGATATAAAGTTTCAAAATAAAATTGTTCTTAACATTTGCCTCAAAGTAAAAAAATTAGGATTACCAAAATAATTGCTTAATTGCTATTCCAGTTTGCTCTTATAGGTTTTTTAAGTTTCTAGCAAGCCAAGAGCAAAGCACAGAGGATTCTTATAAGTTTGTCAGATGTAACTTTGGCTCTTAACAAGTTTCAGGTAAGAGCATGCTTAATAGCTACTTCTACGTTGACCACCTTGTTGCTTTTAATTGGAGTAAAGTGGCCTTTTATAAGACTCATTGATCTGCAAACTGGTTCAAAGCCAGCCCGGGCAAAAAAAGGTCCCTGTGAGACTGTCACCTCTACTCAGCCAGCAGAGTGCTGAAAGAACAAGCAGAGTTGCTTTGGGACTCATAGTGGCAGAGTGCTAGCCTTGAGCTGTAGAGCTGAGGGACAGCACTCAGGTCCGAGTTCAAGTCCAACAACCAGCTAAGGAAAATGCAAATGAGGAATTTATCTCAGTGTAGAGCAAACATTACTGGGCCAAGAACAATGGAGGAGCATCCAGAGGCAGTAAGCCACTGCATGGATGACAGAAATGTCAGATCCTATAGTCATTTGTGTGTGGCCCTTCAAAAATTGGTCAGAGCCAGGAGGTCATGGGAAGATAGGTTGTAAGCATGCCTAATATCCATGACTATCTACTTTGTAGGGACAGAAACTTATAATAGTACTAAAAGGCTAAAGTTATAAAATGTGGGGTATGGTTTAAATCCCAACCCCTGTATGTACCAAAAGCCCTAATTGACAGTAACTTTTGAGCTAACACCAACTACATAAAATTTATCTGATCAAGAAAAAAGTTTGTAAACCTGAGAGTGTGTTTCTATTAACATCTGTCTGAAGGCCTACACAGGTACTTAGTCATTGTTAGAGTCACTAGAGGTCACATTCCTAAAGATACTTTTACAAACCAGAGTGTAAAACAAGCTACACTGCTATAGCCAAGAAAAAGTCTGTGCATTTGTCAAAAGTTAAAATATTGTTCTTAATGACATCTAACCCTGGTAACCTCTTTGTAAAATAGACTAAGGTTATAGGTTCCTGGCTAGGTAGGACAACACCCTTGAGTCAGCTTAAAAAAGTTACAAAAGATGAATCTTTGCCCATCATCCCCTTTTTAGAACAAGGGACAAGAGTCATAAAAAAAAAAAGGTGACAAAATAGACAAAAAAAAAAAAACATGAAAAATAGTAGTACAGGCTTGAGCCCTCTATATCTGCCTAAAAAATCAGCCTTATTAAAAGAACTATCTAGTTAAAAAAGTTGTCATCTTGGTAAATTGTCCTGGGCTATTGTCTAAATACTCTTAAAAACTAGTGGGGCCACAACCTGCCAAGCCTATATATTACTTGTATCCTTAACCAGTCTGTATAGAAATTTACAGCCCAACACGAGGTGTGACAGTCCCTTGGAGCCACTGAGAGACCCTGCTGCTGCTGCTGCTGCTACAGCCTGACAGTCACCTGGAGAAAATCTACATCGTTACCCTGACCACCTCCACCGTGGAAAAAGTAGACGAAACTCCTGCCTAATTCCATCTTTTGGATGGCTTTGCTTTGTCCATGTTACCATATGCCTACTCTAATTTTATTATGGCTACTCCTCTTGCCGGGGAGACTAACAAACATTGTATTGCCCATTCCCTACACTGCTTTGCCACTATGGGACTTCCTAAACATAGTAAAACTGATAATGGTCTGGGATATGTCGGACAAGCTTTTCAAAATTTTTGTAAATCTTATCAGATTATTCACACTACAGGTATTCCCTATAGTCCTCAAGGTCAAGAAATTGTTGAACGAGCTAATGGTTTGCTCAAACATCAAATTTTTAAATTAAAAGGTGGGGAATTATACCCCATCTCTCCTGTTAATATTCTTTCTCATGCTTTGCTTGTACTAAATTTTTTAAACATAGATTGTAATGGCCTTACTGCAGCACAGCGTTTTTGGGAAAAAGGAGAGCAAAGAGCTTTTGCTCAAGTAAAGTGGAAGAATCCTTTAACAGGTGCTTGGCATGGGCCCGATCAGGTTTTAACATGGGGTCGAGGACATGTTTGTGTTTTCTCGCAGGAAGAAAATGATGCCCGCTGGTTGCCTAAACACTGCATTAGGATTGTGGAGACTCATTCAGATGACACAAATGCTGACACATTGGGCTTACGTGCCAGATCCCCCGATTGTGCACCCTAAAACTTGGGAGGGAGTTGAAGTAATCATTCACGTGAATAGATCAGCATTCAATACAGCCCCCGATCCCTTCATCCAGCACACCAAGATGAGAGATATCTCAGCTTCAGATATTGGAACTCCTTTTTGCTTTACTACCAGCTCTAAAGGCTCCATTCCAGGCTGTATTATAATGCTATCCATGACTCATAAAATTTGATTCCCAGACAAAAATCAAATGTAAAATTTACAGATGACATCTTTGCCAACTGGGCACTTAGTTTATGCAAATTCTACTTCATCCTTTAGGATACTCCATTGCATTAATTCTTCACAAGTAGTAAAATCTACAGGAGAGCCTCATCCAAATAGGTGTAGGCATGTGCAGCCATTTGTTACCAATATTTCTGGAACTAATTCTCAATTAATGGACTGGTCTGGAGCTAATCTTACTAATAAGTACAATCTTGGACTGTGGTGGATGAATGGGCATCCTCAACATCATGTTTGGATGCTGGTAGCTGCACTCAACAACATAACCTGGCCCAATTCATCCCTTTTAAAAAATATTATAAATTGTGTATCACCACCCCATGTCATTATGTATGGACCATTTAATATCCCTGTAGGAGCTAATTATTTTAATGTTACCTGTTCTAATTGTTCTTTTATTAATTGTATAGAAGCATAACTGAATCCATACTTATTGTTAGACAAACATCTTTTGTTATGCTTCCTGTAAATATTTCTAAAACTTGGTATAAAGATTCTGGCATTCAGGTGTTAAGACAATTGAAAGAACTAATGCGTCCTCGTCGATTTGTTGGGCTACTTGTAGCTGATGTTTTGGCCTTTATGTTGTTAGCTGCCTCTGCACGGCAGCTGCTGTGGCACTAACACAAAATGTTAAAACTGCCCATTATCTTAATCAGCTTGCTCATAATACTACACAAGCCCTACCTCTGTACTCTAAAGTGGCAAAAACTGTTAAAAAACTGTTTAAACAATTTCAATGCTATATCCCTTCCCTGACTTATGTTAAAGGATTGCTAATGGCCTGGGAATGCTTTTGTTGATGGTTTTCTATGCCTTCCTTGTATTACGTGCACTGCAAAGCTCTCTTATGAGTTTAGCCAGCCGGCTACATAAGATCAAGCTCCAAATAAATGAATTCCCCCTGAGAGGAACAGCTGCCAGAGACGGGTAAGAGGGTGTGCCAGTCTGACCAACCTAAGACAGGGCCTTCAGCTTTGCTCTAAAAAAGTTCCCAAAGACGGGTAAGGCAGACAAGGTGATCCACCCAACCTAAGACAGGCAGGTTCACTTCTTAAAAAAAGAGACGGGGGAGATGTTGGGAGCCGGCAGTAAAACTCCAAGGTCATCTTGACCCTTGTGCTCACTTGAAGGCACATACAAGAAACTGGCTTTCATGAATAACGACAGGTGTCCAGGTTTGCCTTGCTATGTCTATAGAATTTGTTTTAATTTCTATCAGTTGACCTTGCCTTGTTTCTTTCTGCACCCTTGTTTTTATTAAAATTTTCCTTGCTTTTCTGCACTATGGTGACCTTAGGTTACCTCTTGACTTCTAATAGTATAAATAAGGAGAGTTAAAAATAAACGGGGCTGCAGTCTTGAGCTGCAGACCTCCCGACACCATCCTTTGTCTTATGTCTTTATTTTTCTGTCCTCGCCCCCTAAATCAGGAGTCCCTTTCATTGCCAGCTGGTTCTGGCACTGAATTGCCATCTTAAAGAATATACAACACATTTTATATTGGCCACTGATCTTCAGCAAGTCAATGTCTTCCTTTCCTCTCCAAGCACATCTGTGTCAAGTGATATTTCAATTTCTTACTTCACAAATACCCAGCTTACAGAACAAAACATTTCTATAGATGGTCATTCAACTGTTATAAATGTCCTAAACCCTGCCTCATTCAAGCTAGCTGGATCAGAAGCTTAGGAGCTTTCCTAGTTTTGATTGATGTTATTATACCAGCTTGTGTCCACCTGACTCGGGAATCAACTACATGGATAATAAAGACCTCCAATTCTTTTGGCAAGTTTGTCCTCTTCAACTTAATTTTCATTTGTTAGAAAAGGTGTATACTACTGTTTCTCAGGAGAAACATAAAAATACAGGAGCAAGATGATCTCAAAGACAAGGAGAAATGAGATAATATCAGAAAAGTGAGCACACTTTTTGAGAGTTAGTATTTCAAGGAGCTCATGCAGGCTCCTAAGTGTGTGCGCAGAATTGTGAATGTAAAAGTAGGAAATAAGGGGCCTCACATCTTAGCACAATTCTCAGTCCAATTTGTTTGTAATTTATAATGGACTCAGAAATGAAGATAAAGATGAGTTCTGACACATGGCCTTCTGTTGGCATCCTCACAGAGTCAAAGACCAGGAAGGAGAAGGAACACAGGACCAGCACCACATCAGCAGTGTTGAACTAGGCTTCAGAGTACTTCAGAAGCAGAAAGGACTAATTTGGTGCCTTCTCCCATGGCTCAATCTAGCAGAATCAAAGGTACAAACCCTTGTGAGGAAAAATCTCATTCCACAGCCCTCATTCACCTATAAAAGGTTTTAGAATTTTTAATAATGTAATTCATATAAATGTAAAACTTATGAAATGTGGTCTATTTAATGTCAATATTCTTTTAATCTATATGCTTTCAATGTTAATTCAAAAAGAGAAGCAGACAAAAAATCCATTTAAATCTATAAAGATTTTTGCAATAACAGGATGTGACATGTTTAATACATTGCGTGACAAAGTGGAGAATATATTTATTTTGTTGAAGCTTCCTGACTCCTACACATGAGCCATTCATCATCCATTTTTATTTTTCAGATAGGTAGCATTCTTTTTTTGTATTTTTTTTATTTTATTTCATTTTTGCGAACATACTGTACAGTTTATAGCTCCTACATCAACAAATTGGAGAGATCTGAAACCAACAATTTAATGACACAGCTAAACCTCCCTGAAAAAGAGCAGCAAGATAAACGCCAATCCATTAGATGGAAAGAAATAATTAAAATTAAATCAGCATTAAATGAATTAGAATCCAAAAAAACTATAGAAAGAATCAACAAAACAAAGAGTTGGTTCTTTGAGAAAATTAACAAAATTGACATACCCTTAGAAAATCTTATCAGAAAAAAAAGAGAACACACCCAAATAAATAAACTCAGAGATGAGAATGGAAACATCACCATGGAAACAAGCAAGATTCAGAAAATTATAAGGGAATATTTCTCAAAACTTTATGCTAATAAGATAGGTAGCATTCTTGTACCTTAATTGGGCTGGCAATGCATTTTCAACTTC